GAACTCACCAGAACTGGTGTATACAGGACTGAAAGCAAGGTTACCTTTCGGAGGGGAGGGCACTGCTCAAAGCGAGGTCACTCTCCTTAAGGTGGAGGATGTGTTCTTGCTCCAGGCCAAGGAAACTGCTCTGAAGTTTGGAGATGCTTGCTTAAATCCTGGCCTTTGCCTCTTGATGTCTGTCTCAAGTTCTATTTTCCTGTCACAAACATTTCCTGAAATGAAGACCCCACACTTCAAATAACTATAGACTTAAAGCACCATACTATTTTTCAAAATCCAAGTCGCTTCAGTAAACTGGACAACTTATTGGGCACTGGGTCGGGCCAACTGTTCAGGACCTGTCTGTCTGTGACCACGTGCCCGGGGCCTCGGGCCCCTGTGTGGCTTCGCAGGCTCCCCTCGTCCTGAGGCTGCTGGACGCGTCAGTCCTTACCGCCAGCCACGCCCAGAAGCCTGGATATACGCACCTGTGTGTGATTCGCTGAGTCTGGAACACAGAGGTGGAAGAGGCAGCATCTGCCAGAGGCTCGGAGCCTCAGGACAGCGCTGGCGACCACAGCACTGAAGGAAAGCAAATCCCTAACCCGGAGCCCAGCCTGAGGCGCTGCAGCCACGTGGGGAACCCGGGGGCCTGTGCCGCGCAGGGACACGAGGAGGGGCGGTGCCTGCCAACCCCCCCGCGCATGCGTGTATTGTGGTTCGACAGGATTTGCCGGCTTTGGGGAGTTGCTTTGGATCTTTTTTAAAACCAGCTCCACAGAGGTACAGTTTACACGGTCATTAAAATATTGTTTTTTAGTAAATGGAGTTGTGCAAACATCACAGAAATTCAGTTTTAGAGCGTCTCCATCACTGCTTAAAGTTCCTGAGTATCCCTTTCCAGTCTTCCTGTTTGTACTCCCAGCCCACCGCAACCTCTGATCAGCTTTCTGCCTCTGACGATTTACCTTTCCTGCAAATGTAAATTTATAGTATATGGTATTCTGTCCTGATGCGCTCAAGGCAGACAGTGGTAGTAATGATCTAAAGCCGAGAAGAATTGATGTAGAGATAATTCTAGTTAAATTCTTTGGTTTATTCAGATAGGGTTGTGCTACCTATGTTGAGCTTACTTACATCCATATCCCCTACCCCCATTTAGACTCCACAGTTTGAGTGGCAATATTCAGGATACTATATTAATTTCTATTTTTAAAAAATCAGACACCTTATATAGGGAGTAATCTGGTAGAACTGGACCAGAGAATAACCTGGACTCCTCCTTTGGAGAAATGCTAACTTCAGACTTGGGGCAGAGAAAATACAAGATGAGCTTGAAACATCTGGTGTCACCAAAGTAAAAAAGGGCTCAAAACCTACTGAGGCCATGACAGGGTCACAGGCACCAGCATGAATGGATCAGTTCTGGGGCAGTTTTACCATCAAAACAAGCAATAATAGGAACACATTGTATAATAGGAACCCATAGAGTCCATATTAATATAAATAAACGAATACATAATTAATGGAGAAAGGACAGTTCTACCTTACAGAACACTAACAAGTATAGAAGAAAAATAAATTGGCTTTTAACTACAGTAATAATTGATTCAGGCAAGAATCATAAATATATGCTAAAATTGGTAGGTAATATAGCCTGAAAAAAAAATACTTACACAGTTTCCAAGTATCTCCTCATAAAGCATTTATAAACTGCTTATCCTTTTATTAAGAATCAAATACAAATTAACTTCAGAATGGGGAAAACTGGAAAAGTCCATCTTAACCAATAAGTCACCACCAGCTGAAATCATTTACCTTGTGATAAGATGTCCTGAGAAGAACACAGCATTATTTCTGAAGTATTCCTACAAAAACTGAGTAAACTTGAGGACAAACCCAAACTGAGGGGTTTTCTACAAAGTAATTACCTGCTACTTTTTTTATAGTCAAGGTTAAGAAAGAGAGGATAGTGCTAAGGAACAATTTCAGGCTGAGGATCTCCTTCAGATGCAGGAGTTCAGGTTCTCTAAGTGTCACCAGGTGGGACTTCACTACTGAGACTCCTCATTCCTTTTAAGATAAGTAGTCCATATTTCATATTTCATTCATAAGTTAATGTCTTTGTTCTATTCCAGGATCCCAACCAGGTGCTATATATATATATAATTCATTTGGCAAACTAGTATATTTTTCTGTAACTAATTATAGAAAGTCTACATTGTTTTGCAATGTATTTGGAGGAAAAAAATCCTAAGTGTCTCAATCTAGTTTTCTTTTCCAATTGCAATGTTATATCTATGTACACGTACATAAATTGCATCACAGTTGTAGGCTAACAGCTGCATGGTTATGATTTATTTTAGCCGTATGTTTTTACCCTTGGAAACCCTGTAATGACATAAATAAGAAAAGGAATAAGCTTGTTTTTGGGGGGCTTCGAGTCTAATGGGCCACATATACACACGTGCACACACTGGATGTCTGTACTATCACTACTGCCTCACTGAGAAACGAAGGCTTAGAAATTGATGGTCAAGACTGCCATCACTGGAATCTGAGTAACTCCACTTCAGACGCCAACTCTGCACTCACAGCTAAGTCTTAGGCAGATGATTCAACTTCCTTAAACTTTTGGAAAATGGGGAGACAATTCTATCTCACAGGACTGTTATACAGAATAATGAGATAAGCAACATGAAGCAATTACCACATCCCATACATGTACAGGCCGCATAAATAATGCTGACTGCTAGTACTGCACTGTACACCCCGCTGAAAAGTCTGTAATACAAATGAACCGGGGAACATCTTACTCTGGTATATTAGGAGTAACAAAATTCAGGTTGAGTCATCCTCTTATTTAGGTTTGTGAACCACAACCTTACTTCTTTCTTTCCCGGTACCCTACTCTCAGTGGCTGCCATCTACAGCTGCTCTCTCCCATTCAGAAGTCTCTCTGAAAACTTACAATACATGACCATGACACTCACACTTTGTAATTAAAGTACTGTGTTCTCACAAATATATTTCTCAAACTGAAAGCAAACATTGTTCTGGAAATACTATAGAACTTGCCAAAGAATCTGGGTGGCAGTAACAATAAAGAAACATTTAGAGTACACTATGAAGAGGGAGCTCTGAAGAATGAAACAAGATTTTGGGGGAAAGGAGGCACAAAGAGGTTGCTTTGAGCAATAGAAACTGAGACTGAGGACTCTTCTTTCTGATGCAGGCTTATGACCCACCCACAGCCAAAATACTATCAGCAAAACCATAACCACTGATCATACTCAAGAGATGATCCTTCCTCACTCAATACCTTTCTTCCTTCTTGTAAGTTTTATCTCCCCTATAATTCTTAGCAAGTTTGCACTGAGTAAGTTTGCACAAGTTTGCATTCATGATCAACTCTCTGGACTAGCTGTTGCTGTCTGTCTTTATAGAATGTCCTATTAGTTAAAAACTTATGTATAGGGCTCTACTATAAACATGCTGCTATCTACATACAGTGTGGAATTCATAAAGATGAGTAAGATGGAAATAGTTTTGCCTCACAGTTAATTCAACAGGGGTCAGTAAATTTCAGCCCAAGGGGCAAATCTGGTCATGCTATTTGTCTACATATTGTCTATGGGTGCCTTTTGTACTGCAACAGCAGAGTTGAGTTGTTGTGAACAAGATCACATTTCCCAAAGCTGAAAATATTTACTATCTTGGCCTCTTACAGAAAAAGTTTGCCAACTTCTGAAATAGGAGATCCAAGTTTAACAAAAATACCCAACTTTACTACATGGAATTTAAAAGCTGTAAATAAAGAATCACCAGAGTTGAGATGGGTGGAGAGTCCACTTTCAACAGGGACATTTCAAGAAAACTTTGGAGCAGGTGCCAATAGAAATAGGACTAAAAGAATGAGATTGCAGATGTTGTTGTTCTAGACAACAAAAAATGATGTAAATATGTGAAGCAGAGAAAAACCAAAGACAGAGGAGGCTTGCCCATTAGTTTGGGCATACAGGCTTTCACGATGATTTGCAGTGGGCTTTTCATCTTTAGTATGTATTTTTGTTTTATCAGAATGTTTGTTTTATACAAGTCATACTCCATATGCCTCTAGGATTTCTCATTTAATTATATACTTGCCTTCCAGCTGGTGACCCCACTCTAAAGAAGCAAGCTCACAGGTAAGAATTTGGTTAACAAATAGACATTATAATCAATGGCATTTTCTGAAACTATGCCTTAATTTTAACCTTCTTAATCTTTTCCATCATTTGATATGTAATATTTATTCAGGTGACAGATGTGCTTTTTGAGCACCAAAAACTGAATGTTCTTCTGAAACACAATCACATGACTATGCAACACATTAATCTGAAAAGATTACCACTATGTTTCTCCTCTCAATTGTGTATGTTCTCTTTTCCCAGAGTTCCATGAAGCAGAAAAGCTAGATGCATTAGTTTAACTTCTAGGCTTAAAAGACAAAAAATTATTTTGCTTAAATCAGGAACGATGTATTATATTAAAAAGTCTGGGGAGCTATTTCAAACAGCTTTTGAAAGCAAGTTTGCATCAAAAAAGAATTTATTGCAGGAAAACAATTTATACTTATATGTAAAAATATCTTCATTTCAATACCAAAAGCTGCTGTCACATTACCTTTTGGCCAGAAAGTCAGATGCTACATTTGCATATCCTGGTCTATGTACTTTTTCAATCTCGGGGTGTATTTAGTTTAAAAAAATATCACAAACAATATTTAAGAGCAAGAGAAAAATGACTACCTTATTTGAAATATATATTACTCTTGAATTCTGAAAGAATGAGCCATAACATGTAAAACTGGAAGTACTGTACATTAAGCAAACACAAACAAAACTGTGGGAGGTTGGGAGGAGGAAGGGAAGACAGGAAAAAAAGGAGGGAGAGAAAACAAAAAAACCTGTAAACTAAGACAAGTAATCCAAATTCCTCTGCCATCCTGATGTGAAGAGAGGAGACAGAAAAGGATGTTTGTTTCAAAGGCTAAAAAGTTTAATATTTCAACATACAATCTCTCTAAAACTCTCATAATATGTATATGATCCTGGAATAAGTTTCTCACTTCTTAGCTTATTAACAATGTGTACATTTGAAAACATATACAATATTTCAAAACAAATTCTTCAAGATCATATTTGAACAATACAATTCAAGGGAAATAAATTCAGGCACCATGTAACATTTAGGATAAATGGTATCTTGAAGATTAAATATTCTCTTCCTTGCTTGTTACTCTGAAGTCTTCCTTAGACACAGGCTGCTGCAAAGTAGTTTCCTTGGAGTCAAACATCTTGATGGGTCAAATCCGGTTTCATTTTCTCCAGTACTACAAAAATTAAAAACAGACAAAGAAACAAACAGAAAATAGTTGACTTCACTGTTCACAAAGTAAGAGTCTACAATTTTAAAAAATGCTTACATACATGTAATTCTTTAACAAAAGAAAAAAAATCTCACTTAATGTTAGTCCTTAAATTTTTTTAAAGGTTTATATATATTTTAAAAAGTGAAAATTACTTTACTAAATGCAATGAAGAGGATTTCAATTATCCACAATGTATAGGATTCCTAAGAGTTGGCTTAAAAATTAACTTACATGAGAAAGTATTTGGGGGAGGAAATGTTTGCTGACTGTAAGCTCAAGAAGGCCCAATTAGTACCACACAGGCAAATCGAGCACCAGGAAGGCAACAATTGCACTGAATTCCACAGTGACAGATGTGCTTTTGAGCAGTGGGCTACTTCTTGGTGCAACATTTTTGGAGAGACTGGAAACCTGTAGCCTTATTCCAGAGTTCAACCACTTCATTATATTAATAGTTTGGAATCCAATCAAAGAAAGTAGTCTTCAAAGAACAAGAAAGGCCCAGTCAACAGTTGTTTTGGGACCAACACATTAACAATATTTATTATTAAAATATAAACTAGAAGTAAAAATAAACCAACATTTTTAGCCCCTTATTTTGTGCTAGGCACCTACAGTGACTTCATATAAGGCACAATAATCTGTGGTGTCTGTGACACTGCCCTCTCTGTGACACTGCCCTGTCACTATCTCTCAAAGTTACGATTCTGTGAAACTAAGAGACGGCTGACTACCTATTACTTTTGAGGAGTAGTTAATGCAAAAATAATCTGCAACAGTTAATGGTTGTTTTTAACATATACAGATGCTTCCAATCACCCACTCTCAGTAAGGACAACCATTCTGCCTGAGTGAATGAATATACACCGAATCATCCACAACTCATGTGCCGTCTTGTTCAATAAAATATATGCTGGCTTTATCTTAGAGGACTTAAGAGTGGTTTACATATAACAAACATGACATACATATAACACCTATGAACTCCACCTCATTATTACTGAGAGAAAATGTGAAGGAAAAAAGGCTTGCTGATAAATGTTTGTGTATGTGTGTGCATGCATGTGCATGTGTAAAAATGTGAAAGATGTTCACTGATTTTAACTGCTACAATTTAAAATGACATTCTAAAAAGAATATGATTATGATTTATTTTTAATGTTAATAAAATACAATTTACAATTTAAATAGTTGCTAAAATACTTTATTGAGGGCAGTATCAGAGTAAATAAAGTTCTCAGATGGTCCTTGGCACTTATATAAAATGACATACATTTATTTGGTGCCTATCATGTGCCCTACTATGTGCCAGGAACAGTTCTGGTTCTGTAGGAGACCCCAAGTTACTTAAGACAAAAAAAAAATGCCTAAAGACAAAAATGCTTATATAGTCATCTCATCACACACACACACACACAACACCCCAAAAGTTAGACAAATGGATAGGGAATAAAGAGCAAAGGTGTATTGCTTGTAGGGTGGAGAGCAGGTATGGGGATGAGGTATTGTCATGGGGGTAAATCAATGAAGCTACAAAGAAGCTTCCTTTTGAAGGCTTTTTGAAGATGATGGAAATTGAAAATGCAGGTTAAGGCCAAATTATGAACAGTCTGTATGACATATTAAGAAATCTAAATATCCTGGAAACAATCAAAACCCACACCTGTGTATATGTGTATTTGTATGTGTGAGAAGATGCTGCTGCTAAACAGATGCTGTCTCATGTAGTTCCTAAATACTTCAATGTGTCAGTGTGTCTATGAAAAAAAAATTAGTAATACTATGTAGCAGAGCCAGTCTCCAAATATTCAACTCCCTATACATGTGATGAATTTATATAAAAGGGCTTGATTTAACACAAAGGGGCAGGAAAGCAACTGTATATAACAACTAGCCTTACTCAAAGCAGTTAATTATGCAAACAGGCAATCTTACCATGGATTTTTGCAAGTGCTCTCTAGATAAGGAAATTAAATTTGTACAGATGAAAAATAAACTGCAAGGCATTTTAGCTGAAAATAATGGGGCAATCTGAGGACTGTTGCTATTAAAATACTTGACTACTCTTGAGATTTTAAAACATTTGTACACCAAGTACCCACATTATATTTTTTTAAAAACATTACATACAGGTCATATTGGGCAGTTGTGCAGCATGCTGGCCATGGGAGAACGAGAACAGCATGCAGGTCAATAAAGTTCAAGACTGGTTTTTGGCCAGTGTGCAAAATAAATGTTGTCCTGTATTTATCATATTTATCTGGGATTAACAGTTTCCAATGATTTCACTTTATATCATACTCTACTGGCTCTTTGCACAGCTGCTTTTTATCTTTTCATGGTCAAATGAAAGATTGAGATAAAAGTTAAAAGATCATTTTTTAAATTTACAAGTGTATTTTTAAAGTTCACTACACACAACAAAATTTATTCATAACTAATAAAGGTTAGATGTCTTATCAAGAAAAGCATTATTTAAAAACTACTGTTTATTTCTGCAACCAAGGGTTTAGGTCTGAATCTGGACTTCATCATCTATTAATCTTGAGACCCTGGGCAAGCAATTTAACTACCTAAGTCTCATTTTTCTCATCTGTAGAACTAGCTTGGTGATAGATACACCTACTTCCCAGGTGTGAGAATTAAGTGAAGTGATACAGAGAAAGTACTCTATATAATTCCTGGCTGTAATTATTGTTATTATTGTTGTTTCTTTGTTGTTATTTCTCCCAGGATAATATCAGTAAGTTAGGATAGATCTGGGACACAAAATGATACAGAATAACTATGATACAGTGTTTTTTGTTTGTTTATTTAAAGCCACTGATCTAGGAATTATCTTTTTGGAAAACATTTACTTAATTAAAAATACAGTTTAGAGCAAAAGTATTTCTATTTGGCCACAGAATTCAATGCTTTTGTTTTGTTCAATGAAATACTTTACAATGCTTTCTTTATCTTAATTGTAAAATAAGGTCCATTTAATGTTAACTCAGAAATGATGCTTCATTCACTCCTTTGTAGGGCATCTTTTGCACCTATGCTTTCTCAGAGTAGATGACACAGCAGAGTAGTTACAATGGAAGCATCCTACACTGGGTTTAGGAGCTAAGGTCTGTGCATGAAGCTAAACAGGCATATATATAAATAAAATTACTCAAGAAAAGTCCTACAGAAGGCAACACATTAGAGACAGTCAACTCTCAAAAAGCCTAAGACTGCAAGCTTTCCACCTAATCCTGATACAAAGAAAAAAACCCTGTTTATTTAAGTAGCAACTGGAGCAGACTGCTTACACTTGAGAGGCTATGATGTAGGAAAAAATGAGACTCTGCCATATGGGAATTGCATTCAGCATGGAAGGTGCCATGTCATGGGTGGCACTCAGGATTTGCATTGCTCCCGAAGCAGCTCCCCCAACATTTATTAGAGGACGTAATAATGTCAGGCAGAACAACCATACCATTTTCCTCCTTTTGTTGTTTTTAATCCCAACAAGTATAGAGAGTCGAATTCTCTTCAATTAAAGGCATGTAAGATGTGACTAAAAATTTATGTGCTCTTTGCTTGGACCTTCCTTTTGAAACACAGGGGCTAAAATAAGGATGCTTGCCAGGTGGACAGAAGTGATGTGTTCTTAGTGTCTTGAGCTGGAACTTGGGTAAACTTTCTGAACCCAATCTGTTCCTTTTAGTATTTTTGCTGTTTGTAAATAATTCATCTCTATCCCTATTTAATCTACTAAGGTCCAGATAATTGGATTTGATATGTGTTAAGATTAATGGAAACCAAACTCCATTCTCCAGACTTCTACCGTAAGTCAGTGAAGAAGAAACAGGATAAAGAAACAGGGAAGAAATGGGCTGCATTGTGAGAAATCACCATTGACAGGCTTAGTTTCAGAACAGTAGGTGACCCAAACTAAGTGATCTCTACCTTTCTGTGCAGACAAGACTAAAAAGCCCTTTAAGAATAATTTCAGTGGTAGGAGAGTTTTGATGATGCAATTTCAAAGACAATGACCCAAATAAAAGTGTTTTTCAGTGGAAAATTTGTGCCACTAATAGGTGGGTGTTGCTAGGCAACAAATATTGCAGTATTTAATCTCTGCCTTCTTAGGGAACGGCATGATGGAAGAAAATAAGCCTTTTCAACATTTCAGTATAATAGTTGGATCTGACAATTTTGTAGTCTTCTTTTAGTGTATAATTTCTTTTATGCTGAAACAACTGTAACTTTTGCTAACATATTATCAGCCTATCTACATTTTTAAAAAACTGGCTCTGTGACCCATGGTAGCAGAAAGGCATTAAAATTAGCATAAGTCAATTAACAATATGCAGCCTTATAATAAATGCTGTCAGTGACCAAAAAACAGGTATCAGTCATCAGAACTTGAGTGTGCTTGTGAATTATACTCAGAAAATATACAGTATTTAGACATGTGAATTTCAAAGAGAAAATAAACATCTCTTAAGATCACTTAAGAAATAGCTATGCTTCTCTAATTTTATAATTTGAAATGACTTATGTGAAGTTCAGACCTTATTCGGTATCTCTTGTACCATTCAATGCTTAAGCAAATTTAAATGAAATTAAAACTCCTAAGGTTATTTTTATTTTGATATTGTTTTAGTTGTGTAATAGCATAGGCAGAAGTAACAAATTTAAGGAAACCTAAAAAAAAGCATGAACATTTTCAAGTTCATTTCTTAGGATAAAAGACAATGAGATTCTGGTAAAGAAGACCTGAGTTTAATAAGCTAAGAAACAACTTTTTATGTGGCTCTTCTCATCTATCAAAGAGGATGATGCTAAAACTCACTTATTTGGCTATAGGAAGGATTACATGATATTAAAAACTAGGGAGCATTAATAAAGAACAAAGTTCAAGAAAATAAAGGCTGTGATGATCTCAGATACTATGTCTATCATTATTATAAAATTGAGAGCTGAGATGTAATCTAAAACATGTAGTCTACACTAATATTCATGCTGTGTTAGAGCTCTACTTTCCCTAGTCTATGCTGATGATGGTCCTTACACTGCTGTAATCATCCACATATTTGCTCTTAACTCATATTCATGCTGCTACATCTTAATTTTCTAAACTATTTTGTTATCAGGAATATATCCTAGCCCAAAAGAGTATTTAACAACCGAGGCCAAAGTAATTCTAAATAACTATCCAGGATTTCTACATCTTACCTACTATTTTACTGAAGTGAAAAAACAGGCACTTGGAAAAATAGGCTTAATGTTTCTTTCCAAGAAATACAATTATCTATTAGTTAATGCTTATGAAATGATCTTTGCCATGTCTAAGTTAAGAGTATGTCTATCTCTATTACCAATTCATCATCCATATTCATATTTTCTCTGAATAGAAAAGGTACATGCATTACCTCTTAATTTATCCATTGGTTCTGGGCAGTGGGAGGGAATTTCATTTAATTTTAGTCTTTGTGGTAGTCAGTATTAGCTTTACATATGGAAAGCAACTGATCTTTGTGCATCTCTGACAAATCAAATTTGTTAGTTTTTACCTCAATGCCAATCACTTTTAAGACTGGAAATTGAGGCCCAGAAACACCGATAAACTATAATTTCATTATTACAACTTCCCCTGAATATAGTTATGGTCCCATTTTCAGCCAGCACTTCTCTTCTCTTTTTAATACAGAGACTTAAGAAATACAGTTTATTCTTAGATTCAGCAAGCAATGCAAAACAGAAAATTTTGCACACTGACAAGACAATTTCAAAACCAAACCACTAATATAAAGTATGCCACAAGTTTGTTTTACAGAACTTAAAGGCTCAAACTTTAAGCATATTAGATGAGTGGCAGTTAAGCCTTCAAAGATGACACACTTAATTCCTCTCCTCTCTGCATATATATCCCTCTCTTTTATCAAGAGGTAGAATCTCTTTCTCCCCCCTGTGCATCTGGAACTTGTTTCTCCTCCCTGTGAATCTGGCCTTGAGACTAGTTTTAAGAGGTCTGCTATTTCTGCTTTCTCATTCTTTTGCAGAAGCCAGCTGCCATGCAGAACAGCAGCTCAGGCTGGAGTACTAAGTAGAGAGAGACAGGCCATCTGCAGGAGCAACAAAGTGAAGATGTTTGAGTGGTACCTTTCTGAACCTTCCAGACAAACCTGATTACCAGCTGAACAAAGCTGAATGAACGAAACTGCCAGACATAAGAGAAAACAAAGGAACTGTGTGGCTGGGCTCTGGCTGAAATCTTGACTCAAGTATCTTAAGTAGTAGTAACTAATTATCTATTTGTAAGCTAGTGAGTTTGGGGTTTGTCAATGAAGCTATAAACTGAAATGAGGTGTTAGGCAGCAGCATTCATTTCAAGTGTGGAGTTTTAGTTCCATTATATATTGTAACTGCCCAGGAAAATAAATGTCAAGTGTGCAATAAGGAAAACTCATGAAGGGAAATTTGTAGAGCTGTCGACAGGGACTGAGCAAAATGAAATATAAGTGACCAACTCTGAAGGGTAGATCTCTTCTGAAGAAATGCTCAGACACAGAAGTTTAAAGTTTCTATCTTAAAGCATGTTTTAAATGGTTGAGTTTGTAAAAAGAAAAAAAAAAGGTGTACTTGAAAAATAACAGGATTGTTTGGTCTGTGGCCAAAAAAAGTTTGACATATAACATAGAACATAGTACAGTGGTAAGCACAATACTGAGAATTCAGAATCCTGGTTTCAAAAATACTGGATATGGGAATCAAAAGATTTGGGTTCAAGTCTTGGTTCTGTCTCTTGTTAGTCACATGAAGTTGTCTAAGTCATTATACCTCTGTGAGCTTTTCCCATACTGTAACTCTAAAATACTCTGCTGTGTTACACAGAGACTCAGATCTACCAGTAGTTAAAAGTCATTTTCCTACCATATGAGTCACAGTTTACTGTCTTGAGAAGTAACTGGTTAGTAGTAATGACCTGTGGAGCAGAACTTGAGTGGGCTCTTATAATAAAATATGACCTAGACTGGTGTTCAGGGAGAAGAAACTTTTTGTTGTTATTAAGTGGGAAAACTAGTAAAGGCTAACATTTACAGATTCATTGTTACTAGATATTTTTTAAGTGTGTGAGACATTGTGTTTCTAAGTGACTGACAGATTTAGCCTAGACTTCAAGGAGTTAAAAGTGTCCAAATATCTGTAACAGAAAGCAAAATGCAAGTGCAACTAATAATAAATGCACTAAGTACTATGAATATTCAGAGTATTATTAATCATAGTGACCTTAAGAATAGATCTTGGAGGACAGGCTGGATTTTGGCAAGTAGAAGTTACAGAAGACTCATTATTAAGAAGATGGACATTCTTTGCTGAAAAATGGCTGCAACAAAGTAGTCATAAAGATGGAAGAAAACAAAATATTCAGAGAAAATATTAGGAGAACAGCTCAGAAAGTAGCTTAGAACACAATATTCTGGAAGGCCCTGAGTTGCCAGAGATTGGACTTTACTGTTAGGCAATTAAGAAACAATATATCCATTTATATATATTTTAAAAAGTACAAGGACATGAAAAGATACTCCACATCGCTAGTCATCAGAGAAATGCAAATTAAAACCACAATGAGATATCACCTCACACCAGTAAGGATTGCCATCATCCAAAAGACAAACAACAACAAATATTGGCGAGGTTGTGGAGAAAGGGGAATCCTCCTACACTGCTGGTGGGAATGTAAAATAGTCCAACCATTGTGGAAAGCAATATGGAGGTTCCTAAAAAAACTAAAAATAGAAATACCATTTGACCCAGGAATCTCACTTCTAGGAATTTACCCTAAGAATACAGCAGCCTATTTTCAAAAAGACAGATGCACCCTTATGTTTATCACAGCACTATTTACAATAGCCAAGAAATGGAAGCAACCTAAGTGTCCATCAGTAGATGAATGGATAAAGAAGATGTGGTACATATACACAATGGAATATTATTCAGCCATAAGAAGAAAACAAATCCCACCATTTGCAACAACATGGATGGAGCTAGAGGGTGTTATGCTCAGTGAAATAAGCCAGGTGGAGAAAGACAAGTACCAAATGATTTCACTCATATGTGGAATATAAGAACAAAGGGAAAACCGAAGGAAAAAAACAGCAGCAGAATCACAGAACCCAAGAATGGATGAACAGTTACCAAAGGGAGAGGGACTGGGAAGGATGGGTGGGAAGGGAGGGAGAAGGGGGAGGGGGAGAAGAAAGGGAGCCTTATGATTAGCATGTATAATGTGTGTGGGGGCATGGGGAGGGCTGTGCAACACAGAGAAGACAAGTAGTGATTCTACAGCATCTTACTATGCTGATGGACAGTGACTAATGGGGTATGTGGCTGGGACGTGGTGAAGTGGTGAGTCTAGTAAACATAATGTTCCTCATGTATTGTAGATCAATGATAACAAAATAAAAAAATAAAAATAAAAAAGTACAAGGCAAAACACTGTTTTGTGGAACAAGATGTTTAGAAAAATAAAGATTGCTTAGAGAATAAAAAGACTAAAACAGATCAATTATAAAGGGCTTTAGTTATCCAAGTGAAGAAAAAAATGGATAAAAATATTAGTAGTCAGAAAATGATAAAGGATAATTAAAGAAATGGTTGATGAAAAAAATAATAAGGATTGGTGACATATTGGTACTGGGTGAGGGAAAAGTCAAAGCAGACATGCTTTGAGCCTGGGTGATTAGCAAAATTATTACTAACAGAATGTGTGAGGTTAGGAAGGAGTACACAAGAAGAAGAGTGGGAGGGTGTGGGAGGGAAATAGGCCTAATAGTTCTGTTTGCTAATTATTTTTCTAATCATCCTTACCATGAAAATCATAAACAGGCTTTAAATCGAGGTTTATCATCATAGGCTACACCTGTATCAAAGATTCTGCTAACAGGGAGTCTACAAGTTAGACCTTTTCATTTTATGGTATGCACTGCTTTTCTTGGCTTCTAAAACTTTTCGTAGCACTTCACCATTTACCAAAACCTGCAAGAGTCCACATCTCACTTGCAGAGGACTCTGCTAGACCCAAGATCATTCTCAAGAAGGGTTTACCATCACCACTGACTACAAAGCTAATACACCTAGGCTGATGCTCCACAACTTAGTCATTACTAAGAAAATGTAAGTGGGATGTTTTAGAGCTAATAATGCAGGGGACACATTCACACTGATTGGCTGGCTAGTGAGATGTCAGAGAAGGCTTACTTAAAAAAAAAACCTGAAAAGATGTCTTAGCAGGAAAAAAGTGTGGCTCTCTGAGGACTCTGGAGTAGAGTCTGGCGAAGCTGAGATAAAAGCACTGCCCTCAGAGAACTTACCTGGGCGAATTTGTGAATCTGTTCTACCACTGCAGCAAAGAGAGCATGGACACTTTCATCAATTAGACTCTGCATGTAATGCACCGCCTCTTCATCAGACAGGTCTAGACGGAATTTGTCCTGGACCTACAAGGCCATAATCTATTAGTCATTTGAATGAAGGAAAACATATTTGGAAAAGATAGAATCAAATTGATATAGATGCTATTACAACATATTACAAGCTATTCCTATGCCAAAAAAAAAAATGATTTGTAACTTACACATTACTCTTCTAAGTGTAAAAAGTCTACTGTTTTTTTCTATGTTTTTATATCACCCTATCCTTATTGGCTGTAAATATTTTTTAAGAAAAAAGAAAGAGAAAATACAGCTCTGTTTAACTCTGAAATTTAAAAAACAAGATAAAATTTGTTCATTTAACAGAAAAGTGTGCTAAACTACTTAAAATTTACATTGTGACATATTTATTAGCAATCTCCTTCACTTTATTCCTGTTACTCAGTATGAAATGGATGTGGTAAGGTGAAATTTTATTAAATTCTTCTCCAACTCACTTCCTATACAAGAACAGGAACTATGTCAATCACTGGTAAATCACTAAACTACAACTTCTAAAATGTCTTCTTTCCTGTTGCAATTCCTTTACTCCTGGCAAATAACTACTCCGATTGGTCTATAATTTCCAATGACAGAGGAATTATTCCTTAATTTCATATTTAAAATTGCAGTTGACTCTCAATAAGTACTAAAAAAATAAGAAGATATATTCAGAATGGTTCCCTAAAAAAAATAAAAGCCAATGTTACTGTATAACTACTTTGTACAAAACACTGTAGATCCAGTATCCCACTTGACTTTCAGATGGCTCTGAGGTAGAAAATATCTCTACCTATAAGATGCAGAAACTGAGGCAAAGAGAATTCATGAAGCCAATCCAAGGGTCTGTAACAGATGATAAGGGTCTCATGCTTCCAGAAAATCTCATGCCAGTGCATGTAACCATTGCACTCTACTTCTTTCTACTCTTCAAAGTGACCTACATATACTTCCAAAAGGACAAGAGAAATGAGATTTCCAAGTTGAGTAAAAAGTGCTCCACATTTAGCATTTCCTTTTAAGTATAGAGTTTAACTACTAGAAAACTAGAAAGAAGAAAGGATGTAGTATGTCACCCCAAGGCCCCCAATCAGTGCTTGCCTCTTCACTGGCTAGAGGTATGCCAGATGATCAACACTCTACAGCCGCAAGACAGGGGAAATAAAAGAGATATAAAATGTGAAGGACAATTTGGTGGAGGAAGACCTAAGGGTGTATCCCCAATCAACTAATTCTTCCATTTCTGGATCCTAATTAATGACACACATGTTCCTTGAGTTTAATGCTTTATTTCCTGGATTTCTATTTAAGAAAGATAATGTCTGATAAGTTTTGGAACTATTTTTAGGGACATCAAAAACTACAGGGAAGGAGAATCAAAATAAAACTTTAGCCCAATTTATTTAAATTTGCATAACCACAAACAGTAGATAAGTATTTGGCATATAAAGAAAATGTTACTTCCCAAATATGAACATACTCTCTGTTATTACAAAGAAAGTTAACTGCATATAAATGGTTGATTTGAGATTTACTGACTTACGTTAGACTACTTGCTATTGTCCCATAGGTCATTAAGGTTCCAAGCTTTTTGTTGACTCTACATTCCGTGTTCTTCAGATTATAAAATGTAAGCTCTTTTCATGTGTGTGCATGTGCACACAGCCACCCCCACACATTTCAGTTAGTATTACATATTAAATTTTATCTTTAATAGCATTATGATGTACACTCTTCTTGCATTCATTCTCAGGTATGTAGAGCTATTCTCCAACAAAACCCTGTAACACATTTCTAGATAAACTCTATTGTCTTTCATAAGGAGCACAGTGATTTCACTGATACCTAATCTTTACCCTGTCTTTGAAAGCACAAAATACACCATTACAAGACTAATTTAATACTCAACACAGAAGAAAATAATTTTAGTGTTTAACATCTCTGAAAATAGGAACTTTCATTAAACTAAGAAAAGCAGATCTTCTCTATTAAATTCTTCTTATTCAAAATATTAGAATCAGAAGAATGCTTTTCCTTGTATTCATTTCCTAATAATTTAATCATATGCCTGACTATAATAAAAGAACAATTTTCAGTCATCAGAGTGAAAGGAAGAGTTTTAATCTAAGTATTATTTTCTTGCTGAGTTCATTTGATTATTTGAGCTACATTTAGAATTAAAAACAAAAATCACTTACTTGAATAAAATAAGGAGTAATTAAAGAGAAAAATGACAAAAATTGACCATCCAACTATTGCTAAGCAATAATCAATGCTGTAGTTGTTGGAAGTAAGAAAAATAAAACCTACAGTGCCAAAATTCCACATGAGTGGACACTTTGGCTTGTACATTTATTAATCTTAGAGGCACCAAAGGTCATTTAATTTTATAGATCATTTGAAATAGATCTTCAGATAATCCAGACCTCTTTTAAAATATATAGAATTTCTGTTTTACAGTTTAGCAAAAAATCAACTTAGAGAAGGAACACATCCATTTAATTCAACACAAAATAGTATGATCTCACTCAATTACTTTGAACAAACCTGTTACTCAGTTTAAAAGGTTTTATCTTATTGTTGATTTAAAGGAAGAGCACGAATGACAAAGCAATGACTGTCAAGTGGTCGTTTTTATTCATTAAAGCAGTCCTACCTTTTCTTTACATTTTTTTCTCCTGCAAAAAGCTAAGATGTGAAACTCTTTGAAGATAGGCAATTGTCTTCTTTCAACATACTTGGCTTGTAACAAAGTTAATGACTTGGCAGGTAATACATGTTTTTTATCTCAAGTACTTTAACTTTTCTTCACTAGCATAATCAACAGGAACTGACTAAGAAATCTTGTTTCCATACCACAGATTTATAAGGTATCTTTTTTTAATTTATTCAAAATAAGCTGATACACATTATCTCTGTGAGGCCTTCCCTGGCTACAAAATCTAAGATTTCTAACAAGCAATGCCAATTCAACATTTGATTTACCTCTGTTGCTTTTCTTTCTCTGTAACACTAATCACTACTAATATGCTATACATCTTACTTTATCTTATTTCTTGTCTGTTTCCCTTACTAGAAGGTAAGCTCCACCAGGGCAGGAAATTTGCTTTGTTTATTATTACTATTACTATTAGTATTACTAAAATAGTATGACTAAATAATACTACTATTTATTTTTACTGAGACAGTGCTTGACACATAGTAAACCTCAATAAATAATGCTGAGTGAACTGAATGAAGGATAAAATATATTCATGGAACAGATATACTCAAACTATAGGAGAATGATTATGCTTAGGACAGAGGAATGGAGGTGAGTGTAATTCAACATGAACTGGAGCATTTTGGTTCATTTACAATAAAGGAGGATTTAAAGCAAGCAGAGGAAATTGTTAACATTTGTTAAATGTGGGTGATAGTTAATGGTGTTTGTTACATGAGCATCTGCATTTTTTATTATTTAAATATTTCATATAAAAATTTATTAAGAAAAAGCCTAATAGGACGTATGCTTATTGGTGGAAATTAGCCTAGCCACTACTATGTGTTAGTTATACTAGCACCATAAAACTTGGCTTTTATCAATACGTATTATTTTTATTGAACTAGGTGGACAGCTTAATTCTAAACTGTTAGAATATTAAAACAACTTTTGACCAAGCTTCATAACCCAAGCAAAGAGGGTAACACTAGCCTACTTTTACCAGGTACGCAACTGATGTTTGAGATTGATGATTACAGATATACCTTATTTTACTGTTCTTTGCAGCTACTACATTTTTTACAAATTGAAGGTCTGTGACAACCCTGTTTGACCAAATCTACAAACACCATTTTACCAACAGCATTTGCTAATTTCATGCCTTTATATTTGGTAATTCTGACAATATTTCAAACATTTTTATTATTACTGCATTCGTTATGGTGACCTGTGATGTTACTATTTTAACTGTTTTGGGGCACCGTGAGTTCTGACAATATTAAGATGGGGAACTTAATATATAAAGATTGTGTATGTTCTGACTGCTCGAAGGATTGGCCATTCCCCTGTCTCTCTCCCTCTCCTTGGCCTCCTTAGATACAAGGTTGGTTACAAAGTTAAAAGGAAAGAAGCTGTGTCCATAACATGAAAGTTCAAGGTGAAGCAGCAAGTGCTGATGTAGAAGCTGCAGCAAATTATCCAGAAGATCAGCTAAGATAACTAATGAAGATGGCTACACCAAACAACAGGCCTTCTGTGTAGACAAAAAAGTCTTCTAGTGGGAGAAGATGCCATCTAGGAGTTTCATAGCTAGAGAAGTCAGTGCGTGGATTCAGAGCTTCAAAGGACAGGCTAGCTCTCTTGCTGGGGACTAATACAGTTGGTGACTTTAAACTAAGCCAATCTCATTTATCCTGCTGAAAATCCTATGGTCCTTTAGAATGATGCTACATCTACTCTGCCTGTGCTCTATAAATGGAACAACAAAGCCTGGGTAACAGCACATCTGCTTATAACATGGTTTACTCAGTATGCTAAGCCTACTATTGAGACCTACTGCGCAGAATAAAGAGTCTTTTCAAAATATTACTGCTCTTTGACAGTGCGCCTGATTACCCAAGAGCTCTGATGAAGATACACAAAGAGATTAATGTTTTTTTCATGCCTGCTAACACAGCATCCATTCTGCAGTACGTAGATCAAGGCATCATTTTGACTTTCAAATCTTAGTATTTAAGATACACATTTTGTAACGCTGTATAGCCTCTATAGATAGTGATTCCTCTGATGGATCTGGAAAAAATAAATTAGAATTGTCCTGGAAAGGATTCACCATTCTAGATGCCACTAAGAACATTTATGACTCATAGGAAGAGGTCAAAATCAAAATACCAACATCGGCAGGGATATGGAAAAGTTGATTCCAACCCACATAGATGACTTTGAGGAGTTCAAGACTTCAGTTGAGTTAGTAACTGCAGATATGGTGGAAACAGCAAGAGAACTAGAATTAGAAATGGAACTTGAAGATGTGACTTAATTGCTACAATGGTCAAACTCTTAAGGGATGAGGAACTACTTCTGATGGATGAGCAAGGAAAGTGGTTTCTTGAGATGGAACCCACTCCCAGTGAACATGTGAAGACTGTTGAAATGACAGGGAAGGATTTTAGAATATTATATAAACCTAGTTGATAAGATAAGAGCAAAGTTTCAGAGGACTGACTCCAATTTTGAAAGTTTTACTGTGGATAAAATGCTATCAAATAGTATCACAGGTTACAGAGAAATCATTCATGAAAGCTCAGATAGCATTTTTTAGCAATATTTTTTAATTAATATAGTTTTTGGTATAATGCTATTGTGTACTAGATTAACTACCATATAGAAATACAACTTTTATGTATGCACTGGGAAACCAAAAATTCATTTGACTCTATTGTGATATTTGCTTTATTATGGTGGTTCGGAACCAAACCCAGAATATCTCCAAAGTATGCCTCTGTGTTTTAAATTGTTACCCATCTCACATGTTTTAGGCAATTGTGTTTTCTAAGAAATAAATATGATTAATAAAAATGTCATGTAGTACATATATATATAGTAAGTTTCCAAAAAATTAAAATGAAATTGACACATACTAAAAAAAGATATGGAGACAGGAAAATATTGTTGGATTTCCTTGTGATTACTCAAATAATCAAAATAACGTGTACTTCTCTGAAAACTTCAGCCTCAAGTGTGCCACTGTGTTTTTCTAGCTGGTTTCTATTCATGAAGACAACAAAAAAATTTTCCATGTAATAAGACTTCAAAGTAATATCAGAAGTTGTTATTTTATTAAAGTATAAAAACCTACTTCTACTCCTTAAAAAAGTCAAGGGAACATAAATTTTAGCCTATTCTAATTTAGCTTTCCAATATTATTATTACTTTAATATCAAGTTTATGTTGTAACTTGATAAAGCAGCAGAAAGCAAAGAAACATTTTATGAAATGTCCTTCAGGGAAAAGTATAGTAGAATACATTTTTTATAAGATTCACTTAACTGAAACTAGAATAAACAGCTAAAGACTACTACTCTAAAGAAAAATGACTAGTATGCATGCTTTTTTTCCTTCATAAAATATATTGCTCATACATTAAAAGAAGTACCCTAAAGAGTGCTGCTAACAAAAGAGCACTGTCTTTAAATAACAGTCATGATTTTCTAAAAGAGAAACAAAAATGGAACAAAAGTAATAAGAACAGGAACAACATAACTTAATTGGCAGAAGAAATTGGAAGACTCAGTTTGATAAACACTGCCAGAATAGAAGTGAACTCAGGGAAGAGTGAACATATGACAGAGATAAATGAGTTAAAAAAAATCTGAAATCTGGTGCAGCCATCAATTATAACTAAGGACATTTTCATCAGCCAATTATATTTCTTGATGGATGTGCTTCAGTCAATAAAAAAAAATAAAATGACAAAAAAAATCAGCTATACCAAAAACTGGTGTGGTAAGTTCTCTATTTCCTACTGGGAGGTGGGGGAAATTTTTTTATTGAAACAGTGCTTGCTGGATAAAATAAATGAAATCCTAGTAAGAGCATAATTTTCTTAAATGGCAAAAAATGAAGTATTTACATTAAAATCTTTCTCATTGCTTGCCAAAGACTTACAGAATAAGGTAAAAGAGATTAGTCTATTCATGTTTGCAATCATCTGGATATTTGTATCATCCCCACACCAAAATTGATGTTGAAATCCTAATGTCCAAGTCATGGTGTTAGGAGGTGGGGTCTCTGGAAGATACTTAGGTCATAAGGATAGACCCCCACCATGAATGGCATTAGTACTCTTAAAAAGAGACCTCACAGAGCTCTGTAGTCCCTTCCACCATGTGAAGACACAAGAAGTCTTCAACCTAAAGAGGGCTCTCACTTGACCATGTGGGCACCTTGATCTTGGACGTCTAGACTCTAGAATTGTGAGAAAGAAAATTTCTGTTGTTTAGAAGCCTCCCAGCTTGTTATTTTGTTATAGCAGCCTGAACAGACTAAAACAATGTTTGGTCTACAGAGTTATTTTTCTAATAATGTTCATAGTTGTTGGGTACATAAGAACTCGGAGCGTTTTGGTGCCACTTATTATTTTCAACCACCAAAGCAACTCCATCTGAGACTGCTACTGCCCTTGGGTAATTTTATACTTCTACAAGTTAAAAAGCTATACTATCTTTCTTTCAAGTTCAATATTAATAATCATACTGATATTTAAGATCATGCTATGTTATCTCTGGTTTAAAAGTACTTTACCTAATTTCCTCTCCCCTCCAGTGATTCAGAAAATCAGAAATAAATTCAGACAGAATCCTTCAAATCTGCCACCCTTCTTCTCATCTCTCGTTAGAAATCAAGGAAGGAGAGCTCTGAATCAGTTAGCCTACATGAAGGCTATCCTTTCTTCTCATCTTTGCATGCTGAGTGAAAAACCAGGTCTCTACTCTCCTGACACAGTTAAGAAACTCCTGTAAACCAAGAATACAGGACAGTGAAGATAGAGATTAAAAAATGGCTGTTTTCTCCTATATAGGATTACAGGATTTTTTCTGATCCTTAACACATAGCCTGAGAGTGCCAAGATTCAGGTAACCTTTTAGGAGCATTAAAGAAGAACTATACTTTTCAGGACAAACAGCAAGGGTTGTAATCATGATCCTTCTCTCTGGATATAGTGACCTGTTCATGTGGTTGGGTGTATGAACAGGAAAAGTACAAAATTGGCTTCAGAGGTTGTTATATTCTGGAATGTGAAAAAATTACACAAAGGTCTCTTTTCTTAATTTATGTTACCTAAAAGACTAGCGGCTGGGACAATAAGGGGAAAAGGGTTATTAAAACTTTAACATCTTTTATATATGAGAAGTAGACTATGATATCTCAGGATGTATAAAAATTACCTTTTTCACAGTTTTATCTGGTTCGAGAGCAATATCTGGAATGTTTGCATCCACCATCAAGGAAAACAAGTTCAAAATCAGATTTGAATACCTAAAGGAGAGTGGGGGATAAAAAAAACACTGTGTTAGAATTTTACAGCTCACTATTCATCAGGTTCCTCACTGAAAAGCAAGCCTTGAAAAAATAACTTACTCTGGGTCTTGATATTTCTAGGCCCCAGACAATGGAACAAACTTTTGTAGTAACCATCTAATCACATTCTTTTCATTCTTTACTAAGCATCTTCTTTTTGGAAGAGACTGAAGGAGAATCCACTTTACACCTAATTAACAATTATGAACAATGAAGATCTGTCTTTGCTAGATAACGACAAGAATCTGTGACTTAAGACTATCTCAGTGTGTCATGAGTGAGTGAATGAAAAGGAAATACAGCCATCCCACTAATCATTCATGACTATACTCCAGGATATTCACTAGTGATCACCATAGCAGGAACTTTAGTGACTGGTCTAGGTAGAAGGAATCCTAAATGAAGGGGAAAACAGCTAATACTCTACTGTATTAGAGATTGGCTAGATATCTAAAAAACATCCAGTTTGGACTATGCTGGCCCCTACAGGAACTACAGGTTAATCCTCACCAATCCTCAAATGCTTCTTCTTCCTCCAATCAAGGAGAAAGAATTTTGCTATGCTAAATGCTCATTTCCAGGCACGGAGCCTTGTGGAGACAGGTGTAAGTAAGTGTACACTGGGCACAATCCACCTCCTGCTCCAGAATAATCTCCTCTTGGACAGTTGGGCTCTGGTGGCCCCTTCTTAGCACTGTAGTGATAAAAGGATATGCAAGTTTGACTTTGGCGATGGATGTGAGCAAAGGAAGCTTTGTTGTTAGGCAATGAAGGTTTTTAGCTGGTCTCAGTAAAGGTGTCAAGACAAGAGCCTTGTGTTTTCTAGAGATGGAGGTCAGGACTTAGGTAATGCAGAATCTTTTTTCTAGCCATCTACTGATCTATAATATAAAAAAGCACAACATGCTGCACAACAACTGATAAATACTTGAACTAGAATGATAATGGATTTGTAGGCAATTGACTGTCCATGTAAACCTCAAATCACCTATTTTATCAACATTTTTTAATTTTATATTGCCCATAGAAATCAAGAGGGACTACAATAAAAACTTACAACTTGATGTAATCTTCTAGTCAAATTAGGCCCTAACTCACTCAAACTCTTTAAAAAAAAAAAAGAAAAAGAAAATAGCTTAATAGCTTTAACCTAGCTTTAAAAGTTACTGGTTTCCTTGTGAGAATTGGTAAAAAGCACATCACAAACATTAGTCCATTTTTACTCATATAACAATTTTATTTATTCAACCAAATATCTCCTGAGTACTCACTCTATACACTGTTCCAGTGCTAGAGATACAATGGTGATGGAACAAAGTCCCTACATTCAGGAGGCTTATATTCTGGAAGAGGGTGGAGACACACAATAAACTGATAAACAAGGTAGTTCACACCTGGTTTGCCAATTAAAAAGATAAAAAGAAAAAAACAGAGGAATGGATCAGAGATTGATGGGGTAAGGAAGAGGAGCCTTCTTAAAGAGCTATGGTTTTATTCTAAATGTACTGGGAAGTAGCTGAGTTTAAGTGGTGTGACATGCTCAAATACACCTTTTCAAAAGCTCACACTTACCACTTTGTAGGGAATAAGAAGGGAGGTAGGGAAATTCACTGATGTCCAGGTGGAAAAGAAACAATACGGAGGTTCTCAGGCTAAGGTTTGAGGACGGAGTGGATGACACTTGCTGATGGCTTCAGTGGAGTGGGGGAGAGAGGACAGGAGGACTCAGTGTCACCAAGGACCTAGCCTCAGAAATGGCAAACTACTGCTACTCACCAAAATAAGAGAATGAATGAAGAATAGTATTTGGGGCAAGAAACTGAGAATTCTGTTTTAGACATATTGAGTTTGAAATGCCTCCTAGATCCTCAGTGGAGATATCAAGGAGGCAAATTTATCTCAGAGAAGATAACAGAGGTGATGGTGTAAAGTTGGAAGCCATCAGCATTTAGATCCTATTTAAAGTCACAGGTCTGGACAAAAATCCTTATTAAGAAGAGATTTTGGAAGAAAAAAAAATTCAGAACTAAATTCTTTATACCAATAATAAAACTTTTAGACAGTTCAATAGGTAAAGAAAGAAAAGGGAAAAAATCAGCAAAGAAGTAGAAGTGGCCAATAAGGTAAAAAGAGAAACAGAGAGGGTTAAACCAAATCTAAGAAAGGTTTTCACGAACAAAGTAGTAGTTAACTGTGTCAAAAGCTGCTAGGAAGCAAAAGCTGCTATGAGATTTGGTATAGGGAACTGTTCATCTTGATAAAAGTAGTTCCAACAGCAGAGCAGAAATAGAAGCCTTACTAGAGAAGGATAAAGGAAGAAAAGGAGGCAAATAAGTGGATGCAGTGTGAACAGGACATTATAAAGTAGATGGGTGGTGAAGGACAAGACGAAATAAGGCAGCACTACAATTTAGCAACATCCCTGGCTTCTTCCCACTTGATGCCAGCGGCACTCACCCAGTTGTGACAACCAACATTGTCTCCAGGCACAGTCAAATGTGTTTTTGGGGTGGGAGGAAATTAGGAATAGCCCCCAGTTGAGAACCAGTGATTTAAATCCAGTGGTGAGAACACCATGATTATTGGATTTCCTTCAGTAACATAGCTGTTACACTGTACACATGAAATAGGAAGGCAGACAGATCTGATTAGAGTTGGGATATCAGCAGGTGAAGCTGGAGAACTGGATAAAACTGTAGGACAGAGTTTATAGGGAGGGGTTGTAAAAGTGATTACAGTTTGGGGCTAGAGAATTCAGTGGGGAAAGGAGAAAAGTGAGAATATGAGATGGATTTCATTTGGTGGTAGGGTGACCAGACTGTAAATATCAGTGAGACTGAAAACTTGTAGAAATGGGGACATCCAAAAATGAGCTGTAAGGCTAGAAGGTGTTGGTCAGAAAGTGGAAAGTATGGGATTGGTATTTTAGATGGGCAAGTTATTGGTATTGAAGATAGGGAGTGGACACGGTTGGCTCTAAATGAGGAGGACAAGGCCCTAGGAGGCCAGGTCATGGCTGGACCATTCATGTGGATGCTGAAGTCACAGTAGTATCATGAAGAAGACAAAATGAAAGCTTTCAGGAACAAGAGTGACCTGGCAGGTAGACAGAGGGTGGTTAGCAATGGGTAGTGTATCTATTGGTGTGATCTCATATGTTTTTCTTCTTTAAGAAGGCAAGGGAAGAAATAATTTGGAGGTGGCCATAGGGAGCAATAAGGACACCAAGCCCTTCTCTAAGCTCACAGCATGTAGGATATGGAAATAAAGATGAAGATCCACTTGAGGACTGCAAGGACTGTGGTGTCAGCAAAGTACAGCCAGCTGCTATGTATTATGTTATCAAAAAAGAAGATGTTCTTTCAGTGAACCCTCAATTACTCATACTCTTCACTGTTGACTATACAGTTTCTCCCAATTTTACCACAGGGGAATTTTAGAATCTACCACAGGGTAGACTCGCAAGGTAACAGAGAGGGAAATATAGGGCTCAATTCTGAAAGGGGTATTTCAGATGTTCTCAAAACTGGCAGTCCATTAGATTCACCTGGGGAGCTTCCTAAAAATGTTAATACCTGAGTCCAATCCCAGAAAGTTAATCTGATGAGGCCCAGAACTGTTTTCTATTCCCTGCACCCCTACGCCCAAAAGTTCTCCAAGTGATTCTAATAGATGGTCAGGATCTACATTAAAATGTCTGCCATTATGGAAGCATGTTTGTATCTTTTTAAAATGACAATATTATTGCTTTATGGATCATCTGCTGGTTTAAATGTAACCACCTACCCTGCATTATTATAGCAAAGGGGAACAGAATATACATTATGTACATAAATATAAAATGGAATATTCTATAAGAAACCTAAATATCAAATTACTTTGTTGGTAATTTGTGATTACATTAACTGTCTTAATCTTCTACATCAGTTGCCATTATCCTGAATTTTCCATTTGAGAGAAAACATGTGACCCAAAACAGAAAGTACATATTACACAGAGTAGTCTCATTCAATATTCTACCCAGAAAGACAGATTTAAAGGTCACTAGGAAGCTTTAAACCTATTATCAAAAGAAAATATAAGGTTACATAAAAATTGATGATAGGGTGGGAAAAGTGTGCAGTATCGAGTCTAGACAAAGATGTAAGGATGAATGTACATAATTTAATTTTTAAAAAGGAGTGGGTTGAATAAACTGTTCAATGAAAGTATACTTTTTCTTACCCACATTTATGGCAACCACCATACTAACCACTGATCATACAAAGATGGTCTGAATTTTTCAGTAAAAACTTTCAGTACTGAAAAAAGAAATGTATTTAACTATATCTAGTGAGGTTCTTTCAGTATTTCAGAAGTCTATTTCCCCTATAATCAACCCATTTTTTAAATGCAATGAATAGAGTAGAATCCCAAGATTTAATAAGTGTACTAGTTCAATGAGGGAAAACAATGATGCAATGATGAAAGGCAATGTGTGATCAGTTAGCCAAACATCCCCAGACAACATAAAATCCATTCCTAATTTCAGTATTTTTACTCACAAATTTAGGCTACCTTTTATCATTAGTATCTAGCTTGATGTTTGGCATGAATATGTATTAAAGAAAGAGTTATATTTTCCTTGACCATTTAAGATTAAAGACCATTTAAGATTACTGCCGCCATGAGATAACATTCAAAAAATATATTTACCTATTAATTACTGACTTAATAAGTATTGGTTAATAAGGGATGATAATATATTTTGTTACATGAAAATCACACCAGGAAATATGTTCTGACATCTGCACAACTGTAACCATTCATAACTTAGTTCAAAGTGACTGCTCTGCTATGTGGCCCAATGTTAGTCAACAGTTTCTTGTTGTAGTAATTGATCAAAAATCAACAAAAAACACAGAAAGGTGTTTGGTCATACCTACAAAACCCTAGAAGTGTAAAATAAACTTGGTTCCAAATAAGCTTTTGACTATCAGGTTAATTCTTATGCCCTAAAGGCAATTTTTACTAGCAGAATCATATTCGGAAATAAAAGTTAAAAAATAAATGCTGGTCAAAATTTAGGGTCCAGCTGACCTTAACTGAAGAAATACAGTGAAATTTTTAAAAATAAAAATAAAACAAATTTCACAAAGTAGTGAGGAAACTTTTCAGCTCCATATTAATAACCTGCCTGTTTTCTCATTTTACTGAATTGCTGCTAATCCATTATCAATGACAGTTTATAAAGCACATTGTTTCCTTCTGCTTTCAATAAGATAGAGCACCTTTTACATTTCTCTAGTTATCATTTCACATCACCCTGTCTGCCTCATCACTGAGATCATCATGGTTCCATCTATTTTTCTGTAGGCTTTGACTATTTTAAATTAAAAATCCCATGTTAAAGTGGAATTCATATCTCTCTGAAAGTGCTTCTGCATCACCAGGCAAATCAAAGCACCACTGATCTTTTCATTATTCCTTTAGCATTTCTGGAAATAAAACTGAGCTACTCTGCCACCCAAAGGATAAATAAACAAACTGTTTGTAAAATGCATGTTATAGTTTGTGACAACATAGTAGAGACTGAGTTAACCATGATGGCCTGCCGAGTCACTGCAAAGATGGAACCTGATTAGCACAGGACAGCAGTTCTCCTGGGACAATCCGCATCATCACCACCTGGCAACATGGACTCACCCCCACGTGAAACAGAAATTCTGGGGGTTCTCATATAAATACTGAAGGTTCTTATTCAAGAAGTGTACACTGAGTGATTATGTTCTAGCCACTATATGAGTAGATGATGTCCCAAGCATAAATATGACAAGAGAAAACATGCATAGACAAATCATTGTCTATTGGTTATATTTTCATCTGGAAGAACATGTAGGTATGTGTTCTGGGCTGTGATTTTCTGCTGGACTAAGAATTTCACTTTGAATACTCGAGTTGAAAAAATGGGAGTTAAGAGAAAAATTATCCTGTCATTTTTTACTAATAATCAGAGCCATGTTCTATATTTAACAAACACGACTTTTAATTTCTTTCTTTCCTGATATATGATGTTCAATCCTAAGTATACTAGGATGAAGGAAGCACAGATGGAGTGGCACTGGAGAAAAAAGAAGAGATTGAGAAAAAATCAACAGATTTTTCTTTTCAGCTGAATGATGAAGTGCTAAACAGAGATGTAGCTTTTATTCTCCGATCACTTCAAGGAACTACTGAATGCTCCCAAGGAGCAACAAAAACTAAGGCTGATAAGGGTGCTGAAGAATAAGGATGAGAGGATTAACACCACTCAAGCTAATTCCTTCATTTCTGATAAGGAAGTGGGAAGTCAGCTAAGAAAAAGGAAAAAAACCCAACATGGTGATTATAATCCTTCAAGACTGCCTACAGGGAGACCTGAGGAGTATTAAAGCTCCTTAACCTTTTCTCTATTCTAGTACTGTCAAAGAACACGGAGTATATTCTACTAAATTGATTTTAACATACTGATTTTGAAGTGTTTGCCTCATCTTGTGTAATGCCACCTTCTTGCTTGGTGGGATTTAGCAATCAGATAATTAGTGGGAAAGCAAGATATTCTTTGTTTGCAGACTTTAATATTAGACTGTTTATCAAAATATACATCAAATACACATTAAGAATGCTTGTGCCATCCTGCAAAAGAGTGATGTTAAGAATGTATATATTTGAACAACTTTTTTTGCTCTATGAAATGAATTTTCCAAAATTCTGTCATCAAATCAACTTACCTTCGAAGGTGGAGAAAGGCCGTGTAACACTGCTTACGGAACTCTTGGTATTGCTCACTCTGTGTGCCCCCCATTCCTTCTACCATTTCTTTATTCAGCTTCATTGGAGGAGGAAGAGGCTTTGGATCTCGACCCAAAATATATCCAAAGTCTATGTGGAAGAGTTTGCCTGGATGTTGACAAAAAACTCATTTGTTTCCAGAATTATTTCAAAGAACTGGTAAGGGTATATGTCATACAATTGGCATAAGCAGTGTTTCATCATAAGGACTATTAGTTCTTGACGAAGTCTATTAAATTTTTTGACCCTCTAACACCAGGCTTGGTAGTGGCCCTTACAGCAGTATTTCACAACTCAACATTCATTCAGATGAAAATATGCTTAGAATCATCTAGAATCAAAGACAGCAAAAACCTAAACAACTTTTTAAGGTATTAGCAGAAATTAGTATCTTGTAGCAAATTTCTCATGCATAAATTTAAGCGAACTCCCTTCACTTAGTGGAAGACCATTTAAGTATTCATTAGAGGAATCCTTTCTTTAACTTATTACTATTCCCCACCCCACCCCAAAAAAATTCCCCATATTTAAAATTATATTGTTGGCTGCATCACAACCATTTTCAACTAACTGGTGTCACTCATTAGCTGCAGACTAGGAAACGAAGCACAGTATTAAAATCTGCCAACAGTCGGATACAGCTGCAGTGCAGTGAAGACAAACCCGAGAACAGTCATTTTAATTCATAGACCAGATAGGTAAGAATGTGATCACTTTAGAAAATTATTTGCTACTGAATTTTACAGGTGATTTACAAGTAAGTATAAAGGAGGAATACATTTTAACACAAAATCCAACGCCTTGGATCCTAAGTCCAAGGCAGAGATTTGTTGTGTACTGCTGTATCCCCAGCCTCAGAATAGTTTCTGGCACATAGTAGCACTCACTATTGAATAAAGCAACTAATTCATTTAAAAAGCGAACTTAAAAATCTTCCTCGTGCAATCTGCCCACTCTCAGTTGTCTTGTAATAACATTAAGACCTGTTTTATGTGGAAACCTATCCTCCATCACCTATGTGGGGAGGTTGAATTTCTTTCACTTAAGGGCACAAGTCAAAAACTTTCCATCTTGTAGTACATACATTGAGTTTTTTAATACTTTTGCCATCTTGCAAAATATTCTTATATATTGACTCTATCCATTTAAGATGTTAGCTATACCCTCTATCTTTTTCTGTGTATTATTACTGTTATCTATAAACTTTAAACTCCATCATTTAGTCACTGTTGGACATAGAACTGGCTGAGGTTGTGGCAATGAAGTCCCAGGTTGACAGTGATGCACTGGCAGGCACTCTGAGTCAGGAGTATAGTTGCCCTTCAGTACAACTGACACCTTCATGCCTCACCTGATCAGGCATGTAACCCTGACTAAGCTGCTTAAACGTTCTAAGCCTTACTTTCTGAACTCCAAAATGGATTAATACTGACAATTACCTCACAGGGCAAAATTAAAAGAGATAACACATCTGACACTCAACCCAGTACACCTGGTACACAGTTAACATTCTAATTGTCAGCTGTTAATATCATTCCCAACTAAGTTATAGATGAGTGTGTCTAATGAAATAACTAAAAACCTCATTTAAGAGTGATCATCTACAGTCATGTCCCATTTTGGAAAATATGTCCTTGACTCACAGAGTAAGAAATCATTTTAGCCCTAAACAAAACTAAATTAAGCTGTTACATCTAATGACCAGGTCTCTTAAAGGTGCTTACAAATGTTAACTACAATTTTAAAGATGGTTAAAATATACTGAACTGATATTTATATGTCTCTTATACTTGAGAACACAACTGCCAGGAATTAGTAAAATTAAATATAAAGGAACAACCAATTCTTTACTTGAAAAAGCACCTTTCTTACAAAGAAAAACTAAGTAATACACTAAATTGGAAATCTTATAAAACTTTGAAAATGAGAAACAAATAATTTGCCAAGGCCAAATAATAAGACAGTCCAAATTTTAGGCAATAATGTTATTAATATTTAAGTAAAATTCAAGATAGATATTGGAACAATTTCCAGACAACAGTAAAGAAAACTACCCTCCAAATTATCTGGAGTGACTGTAGAAGTTGTACTGTAGGATCTAAGCATTCAGTGAAGACATCAGGTTAGCCTAAGCACAGCCATGTTGAGAAGCTCAGAGGCCATTTTCTGAATATGTGACTCAGAAAGGCCTTGAAAACGAAGTGAAAAACAAGTTAGACAATCATAAGCACAGACAGCTGTGGCCTTTAGTCAGCTAACCTTGGTCAGTTAATCATACATACCAAGCTTATCTTGCTGAAACCCACCCTAGCATTCTGAGAGTAATCTTATCTCACTGAACCCCCCCAAGATGTGACCCCAGCCGATGAATCATGTGTCTATGAAAAAAACCCTGTTACGTGCTTGTAGAAAAATACTGTCCTCTTAGAAAATGCTATAAAAACCTCTGGCTTTGGCTGCTCAGGGTCCTTGTTGAGACCCGCTGCGTCGGGCTGACACTTGGACCCCAGCTAGCTGGTTCCTGAATAAATTCCTCTTGCTTGTTGCATCAAGAGACGCCTATCGTGAGTGATTTGTGGCGGCGTCCTCCTCTGGGAAAATCCAACAGTACTAATTTGGGACATGGGGTTTAAAGAGAAACAACAGCTCACATATGAATGCTGTAACAGCTATCTAAAGGTGTAAACACCTGGCTGTAGAAAAGATAGCCTTTACCAATGTAACCACTGCACTGAAAACCTGTTTTCCATTTATCCAGATAATCTCCATGATTTTTTTTTAAAGCTTATTTCAAGCTTAAAATATACTGTTCCAATAACTGGTGAGTTACCTAAGCATTTTTCAGTGAGAATATGTGAAACAGAAAATGACAAATGCAAAAAGTGAGATGAGAAGGAATTTAATAGATATATAAAGCAAGGAACCTACCAAGAATTGAAAATAGCTTTTGTTCACTCCAAAAAATAACCGAAGCAGTTACAGCTTAGCCAAATGGTTCCTCTAGTTCACACTAGGGCTAACGAACTAAATCAGCATATACTTGGTAAACAGTTATTAATGAGACTCCTACATCACCTATTTCCATCAAAACATGTTAGCTAAGGGTTTACTGAAACTAACTGCTCACGTATTTTCCCCCTCAAGCTAAACTCTTTAACAAACCATTAAGAGTCTTAAAATCAAGAATCTTGTTTTATTTATTTTTGTTATAGTCCTGAAACCTAAGATAATGCATAGCATAGGGGGAACTCAATGTGGTTATTTTGCATTTACTTTGCTGATGACATCTCAATTTTACATTTATAGGTTAGACAACTTTCAATAACATTATTGATGTGAGAAATCTGATGTGAGAATATCTTCTAGAAATCTGATAGTTCTTTAGACAAGTTGTTTTATTTTTAAAATTTTATGTCTTCATTTTCATGAAGATCTATTATAAAATTAATAGAGGCTGAGTCTGATCATCTGGATGCTATCATACTACTTAGTACTGTCCTGTGATTTCACTGTTTTTGACTGGGTTGGTAACAAACAGCAAAGTTACTTTAATTGTTGCAGGCTAGTACTAACAGAAGAATTAGTGACTTGAAATTACATGACAGCATCCTGAACAAATGGAGGTCAGGAAGTATTTCAAATAAACATAGTATAAGATACATTAATAAACTCAAACTCACTTTACTATCTTTATCATATTCACTCTTCAAGTGACAGTTTAGTCTCAATATCACTGTCTTAATAATGTTAGATTAAATTTTGTTAGTTTGTAACATGATTTGATTTGTAAATGTTTTTATTTTATAGTTATTTAAGAGAAGATGCACAAGAAGTTAATATCAGGTTTTATGTTATACGTATTTAATACTATAAAGTGTAAAATGTCAACACAGGGGGTTTCGTTTCTATTTAAAACAGTTCTATGTATTACTCATGATTGAAAAACACATTTTCAGAATCCTAAATTGGGCTTCAGTGGTCTCTAAGCACAATTAAATTGATTTCTTGGAAATCTAGACTTCACCAAATTCCCAAGGTTAAGTTTGTGAATCTAAAAAGATGAGAAACTAGTTTAGAGTAAGGAATCTGATAACTGTACTACTCACCAGGAAAGCATCATCTCCTAATCTCTTAAGGTTCAAGGAAGCTTGAACTTCAAGGAACTTCATTAAGTTCAAGGACGTTCAAGGAAGTACTATCATTTACCTTTCCATGATTTGGTGAAAAGTCCATCATAAGCTTCTGTTAAGGATTTCACTACCTTCAACTAAATACATATCCTCTGTTCAACTAAGCTAAGCACTCCACTCTGTGTTTAAGTCTCTGGAGTTCTCCTTTATTTTCCACCTTGTTAGACAATCACTATTCTACTCTTGATGAGGTAAAGAAAGGAAAAGCTTATAATATTATAGGTACAGGTAAACTTTTCTTGGTTTTATTGAACTAAATAATGTTTTGTTACCAATATAATTCCTAATGATATTCAGCACTTGAACAGATAGCTTATATGAACAATCTTTTTTCAAAACTTCCATCCTTAATAAATCAAATGTATCAACCATCACAACATGGTTTATTTAATGGGCTCCATCCTTTAAGAGGTAACCTAACTCCACTTTTCCTCATTTTATCACAGACATTACTGGAATTCCAATTTCAGCTATGCATCATCGCTTGCAAATGGAGAAGCATTAGCAAATATACTATTTTCTATCCTTCTTGTAAGAAAATTCTCAAAGAACAAGATTACTGTTTAATTATAAGGCATAAAACATTCAGTATCTAACAAGTGAAACCATTACTATGCTTTGCAAGTTCAAAGAATCATGTATTTTGAAAAAAAGCTATTAATGTTTTAAGAAATTCATCCTCATACATACTAAAAGGAGTAACTCTTTTAAAGTTAATTTCTGTAAATGAAACTTATAAGGATTTTTAAAAGTGCACTTCATGAAAATTTTAAAAAATGCTTAAGAAATTCATGAAGTATGGTCTTATTCATATCTTTTACCCTAGAGAGTCAAGAGGTAAAGTGTACATAAAACAAACCAAATGTTGACTGTAATTATTTCCTTTTGTCCCTGACTTGTGATCTAAAGGGAATAAGA